TTAGACATGAGGAAGAATTTTTTTCTCTCAGAGAGTGGTCAGGCACTGGAATGGCTGCCCAGGGAGGTGGTGGAGTCGCCGTCCCTGGCAGTGTTCAAGAGGTGCCTGGATGAGGAGCTGTGAGATCTGCTTTAGTAGCTTGTGGTTGCAATAGTAATGGGAAGACAGTTGGACTAGATGATCTTGCAGGTCATTTCCAACCTTGTGATTCTATGATCCTATGATTCTTTGACTATAATAAATGTAAAAAAAAAATGTATGTTGAATTGAAATTTGAAGAGATGTTAGAAGATTTCAGTCTCCCAGTTTCCCATCACTGGTTCAGGCAAGTTTCTCTGGATAACAGAATATTTCAAAAGCGTTCTGTAGGAAGCAAATCAGATGTCTTATAGACATGAATCAGCTCTGAACACATTAAAACGAAGCTCTAAAACTTCAGCCCTAAAGCTCTAAACATAAAAACAGTATTAGAATGATTTAGGTTTTACAGATATAGGCCACATATACAACTTCTGAAAGCAGGACTTTACTCCATAACCAATACGATATTTCTAAATAGCATGGATATTCCATGCACTTCAACAGTAGGAAATATTTTTAAACTTCATATTCAAGCTTTTGTAAAAAATGACAGATTCTTCTGGGATTGAGCTCTTCATCAGCTCACACGTTTACCAGATTTATTCCTGTGTCTGGCAAAGTAAAGCAGACACAGAAAAAATGGTTTCCACTCTAAGAATCCTGAAAATTCTGTGAATCAAAATGGAGCTTAAAACAATTTATGAAAGGCATAAGGAAGCACTTCCAGAACGTTTATTTCATGGGCATCCTCACTGCATTATCTAACAAACTGCTACGCATTTTGTGCTATGCTATAGGATATGCTATCCTGCCCTTGACACAATTCTTATTTGTCAGCAGAAAGCACATGACAATAGCTATAAGTGCTTTATGACCCCAAAGTAAATATCTGACAGCTCCATCAGACCAGTTTCTTGCAAATTACTCTGAATTACAATATATTAATAAGAAAGCCATGGAAGCACTTAGTATTTCACAGAAAATGACAACTAAAAATATTAATCAGAACACAAAAAATTATTTTTAAAGAAAAGTCAATCATAACTAAAGATTAACATACTAACAGTTCTGAAGTAGATTAATTACCTTTACAAATTCTAATGACATCATACTTGGCTGGAGTAAACTCATTAAGTCATTAAAGAGCACCTGATATGTACATCATGAAACGGCCTCTCCTCCATGTTGAGAGTTTAGCTGAAAAGTAAATTACTATGTCTCTTTGGTGTTCAAAGCAGATTAATAGCTGATTCAAGAAGAATGTGCCACCTAATTAAAAGCTACAAAATAAATCAGTCCTGTGAAAAGAGTCACCTCTCCCTACATTTCATTCAAATTCAGTTAAACATGTTGCATGAATTTTCACCTTAAATTATTTGATCCACAAGACTTATTTCCTATTCTTTTTCAATAGAGTAAAGAGGACTTTCACACTGGCAAAATCTTTATTTTTCTTAGTGAAAATGCATTACTTAAAGCTCTGCATTTCAAAACTACACACTACAAAGCCAACAATAACAAAATGATCCACAAAAATATTTAATACTAAAAAAATCAAATGAAAAAAATCAATTCTTCAACTTTTCTATGTTTAATTTAATCTGATATCTCAGTGCATTGTGGGAATACGTTTATCAGAATCAGCAGAGACCAAATGTTAATTATGAAGGCCAAGCACAAATGAATAATCTCACGTATAGACCCTGACACATTAGAACTGCAAAGTACTCTGCAGATCTTATTTTATGAAAATGTACTAAGAGCGTAAATGTATAGGCCCTTAGGAAGCAATTATCCCTAAAAGATTTAGGTATAATTCAATCTGAAATATGATAAGATTTTTTAAATGGTTTCACAAAGAAGAGGATTATTTTACTTTAGTGATGAATATAGGTGTCCACACCCTTCCCTGAATGACCTCTGTGCAGTTACGTGCATTACTTGGAGGAAAGATTTGACATCAGTCTTGTCATTCAATTAATATATACTCTGATGATCAATAAGAATAATATAAAAATTAGGATTAGAATTTGGCATTGTGGGACTGAACGGCCCACAACACTAAGAGATGTTCTATCCCATCCATACATTAAATGCAGAAATTTTAAATTACACAGCACTAATATGTCTGATAGAGATTACTTAAAAACATCTTAACAAAGATGAATATATGTAAAATCACAGTATAGATCTATACACGGTGCATTATATGTCAAATGTCTTATCTGAAAGATGATCCTCAGGTGTGACAAGGGATCTAAAAGTATGTAAAACCAAAAGTAAGCAGAAGTGCTTACACCACTTTTACTATCCCTACATCCTGCCTGAGTCTGGCCATTTTACTGTCAGCACCCCTCCTTTCTGGTGAAAAGTCTCTTTGCTGCTTTATCTGTGTACTGCTGCAGCCTCAAACAAGGCTGGAAGCAGCTTTGTGAGCTAATATAGCTAAAAATAAAACAAAAAGCTTGCAGTTTATCTCACCTGTTAGACTACACCATCTGTGAAATGAAATGTGTTTTTTTCTGGATGGTCTTATGCCATTTCTTCCTTCGGAGCAACTCATTATAGTAAGATAATTAATAAAAAAAAAAAATAAGGAAGAATTAATAATCTGTAGGTCTCGTTAAGAATATTTCAGGACCCTGCAAGGCAATGATCTCATTATTTGTCACAAATTTTTATGCCATCCTTAATCCAGTTGATCCTGATTACTGTATTTTTACCCAGATAAGATTGCAAGTATCCTTACACTGCCTTTGATGTTTGCACTTCCATTGCTCCCTGCAGCAAATCTGAAGCTGGTCAAATTTCTTATCTGTCCCCTAGCACCAAAATGCATATTTTGCCAAACTAAGTCACCAGCATCAATTATATTTAAGAGATTATTATTTTATTTTAAGATAGGTTCTTTTTTTAATCTTTCCTAATCAAATTTGTTCAGGATGGATATGGTATCTGAACATCTCCCACAGGATACCTGTTCGTATTTGAATTAACATTACTCAATGCAGCACTGCAATCAACTGGCAGACAGGCCCACCCCGGTTGAAGACGTCTCTGACCTGACTCCCATCCCTACCAGCAACTTTGTACCTTGCTGGCTATAGCTGCACTAAAAAGAGCTGATAAACTTTCCATTTTGATGACTGCTTAGGGCAGAACAAGTGTTGATAAGTTGCATAACAACGCTGACCACTTTTGCTGAAATTTCATACATGCATTTCATTGGTTTTAAGGTTAGGAATTCAACCTAAGCAAGTGGCCTCCTAAGAAGTGCTCAGATGGCCCTACCCTCACCGTAGACAACAGTAATAAGAACTGAAACAAACTCAAGAGGGGTATAATATTAAGAAAGTACAACTTTACCAAAAATTGAAAAGCATTCCTTTTTTTCCTCTCATCTCTAAAAGACAATGACCAATTAACCTCTAACTCTGAAAATATCAAAAAATGCCTGTGACAGACAGAAATTAAATTCTTTAAAGACTATGTGCTGCGAGAGCAATATCAGGCTTAGGATGAAATCCTAGTAACACTCTGAACTATTAAGTCACTTCTTGCTCTGAAAATATAATTATCCTGCGAGCATTATGTCAGACAATATTATATGTAAAAAACGTACTCTCAATAAAACATTGATGCTTTCTAAAGAAAAGTGCCTGTGCATAACGGTTTCAATGACAGAAAAAACAAGTCAGCATGCAATTAATGAAAGACAATACTACTTATTATAAACAATGTGCCTGCCAAGCAGTAACTTTCAATGATCTCAGATTCAAAACAATAGCATTAGCATAGTCAGAAACAGCCCTGAGTGTTTACAATCTCTATTACCAGACATCTGAGGTTAGATTGCTTTCAATATTGCTCGCTTGATTTTGTAAAAATCACCATAGATTCTGATGGGAATTGTAAGCCCATAAAACACACTGCGATTGTATGCCATGCAGCCTCTTTCCGTTTATTCATTACACTTTCTTTTTTTTTTTTTTTTAAACTGAGAAATGTCAAACTACACAAGGATTTGCCTTAACTCCTTTACTTTGCATTGGTCAAGATGTAGCACAAATAATGATGTTTTCCTAACGCCCGCACACAGAGCAAAATCTGCCTACAAACGAGATCCACTTGGATCTTACTACCTACATCAGGCGGTTTTAAAATGACAACACAGTTTCAACAGAGAAACTTCTGCCTTTACACTCTTTCCATTACCGATCAAAGAGCTTTTTATGAATACAGCAGCTAAATAGGCGTGCGTGACACTTGCACATCTTACCTGGCTTTTGCTCTTATTCTGGCTAGTGGTGAGATGGCTGGTGATGTAGCTGTCAATTTCACTGACGTTACAATTTCCCATTCTCAATGCAGCAATAACCTGTCACTTTACACTGTCCTTTCTCTGACCCTCTCCTGCCTCTCTGCTCATTTTTATTCTTATTGACAAGACTTATTATTCCTCCTCCCAATTCCAACTAGCTACCCTTTTGCAAATAGTAGTATCAACTATGTGGTCACTAGTAGTATAGGTCAACAATGTTATTAATATAGCACACACTGCTAGGAGCAGATCAAACAGCCATACTTTAAAATGTTAGTTTTGCAAAGGTACTGTGAAGCAAATAGTTGCAGTTTTCTTCACGTTATAAAATGTAATCCAAGGACAGTCTCCAAGAATTCAGTATAAATTTCCAGCCCAATAATTTGGAGTGGATGTTATTTTTTTCTTGTTGTTTTCATACACAAAATAAAATAAAACCATAACAGAAGGGTGCTGTATCTGTGTTTAAAGAAGGGGTTGTTGGCAAACACCATAGCTCACTTCTGCTGAAATGTACACAACTGATATATGCAGCCCAGAAAGCTGGCACCAGGGGCTTACAACCTTAATTTGCCTGCAAGAAGAAATGGAGATTTACCTTCAGAGCACGTTCTTGATTGTTTTCAGCAGTCAGATGTCTCGTGTTGTTTGCTGAAGTCTGGTTCTGCTCTTTCAGATGATGAAGCTCCTGCTCTAACCGTTTGCACTGCAACGAGGAAAGAATCCCATTAAGTAGAGGAGTGTGAGCATATTTTTTTTTCAACAAGCCAAATGAATTAACGTAAATAACCCCATCACCATTTCTGCAAGTAGAGAAAGCATCAGACAAAAGCATGTTACAATTCCTAAACAGTATTAGAGCTGTTTTTAAAACATGCAGCGTTATTTAGTTTCCTCCTGGTCCAACTGTATGCCAAAACAAAGCTAAGTTTATTATCAGATAAAGAAATTTTGCAGAACATTTTAAGAAGTCTTAAAAATTACAAAGATATTGAGATGAAATTCTACTCATACCCATATAATGCCAAATTTTGTCATATTAAGTATGTATCAAGGTAGCAATATATGCTTTTAGGAAAATGAGCAAATTAAACATACTCCAACTTAATCAGCCTTTCAAAAGAAAATATATGTGTAGTTTTTATTCTTTTTTTTTTCTTTTATGTTGAGATTACTTTAATTCCCAAGCACATACTGCAGCTTGGAAGAAAATAAGTTTTAAGATTATTATGTTTAAATATTAATTTAATGACAAAGAATGAAAAATTTAACATTTGCTATTGTGTGCATACATACATGTACTTACTGCTGTAACCCGAACACCTATTCTAAAGATTAAAGATCTGCAAATTGTGTAGTGAATAAATTATATTTTACTATTTTTTACATTAACCATAAGAAACCTTGCCTCTTTTTAACATTGGTTAAAAAGAGCAATTAGTTGCCAACAAACAATGCACTGTTTCATGAAAAATAACCCTTAAAAAAAAACCAAACCAACAAAACAGATTAAGGACCAGGAAGACATAGGGGAACAATTGTTGGACAGATCTAGGTAAAATTACAACATTAACAAGAACATTTTTGAACAGCATATTACAAGGAAATAGTTCAGATATCATCACTAAAAAAACTAAGCTAGTAGATCCTGTTGGGACATTAGACAATTCACTGAGAAAGAAGATTTTAATAAACACCTTCTGAAAACACCAGTAAGAAAGAAATGAGAATTGTGATTTAATGCTCACATAAGCACTGTTGTCTCAAATAAAAGGCTTGAATATTTCAGTCTCTTCTGCTACCTTGCTGGTTTGGAAGGCACAGAACAGAGCTTCCTATCAAATGCATACAATTTATTCCAATGCAGTTCTTACTGGAGTCAATTCCGAACAGAGAAAAAGTGTGAAATAGAGAGCTGTACTATAACTGAATTATATATATAAACTACAACTGAAGCCTAAGGAAAATAGAGTTCCAAAGTAGTTTGAGACAGAAATTTTAAATAAAACACACCAACATAGTCCCAAACACAAAATACTTAATTTTCTCTCCTGAATAATGTACTGCAAGTCAAGATAATCCAACTTAGTATATAAAACAAAATTATCTGATCCTATATATAAATAAATTTAAAATAATTGTAGGTGTCCAACAGTGATATTAAAGTATCTGATTTTATATCAGGTGTGGTATCAGCATGTCTCCCTGGAGTAGTGCGTACTGTCAATGAGTCATAAGGTTTGTTAAAGCACAGTTTCAATTTTACACCAATAAGATGAGAAAAAAACATTTTCTCATAATATAGGAAAATGCAGAAAAAAATGCTAAAATAAATTTGACTGCAAATGTTTTTCTAAACTTTAGACATTTAATGTCTATCTCACATAAAAGTCATAAATCACACCTGTAATTCTTCTTCTGTCAGGAATAAAAAGCATCTGAGAAACAGGAGCTCAGAAAACTACTAAAAAGTGAATCCACAGTATGCTGTTTTTTCTCTGAATTTTTTGTTTGTTTTCTGCACCATACAAGATCTAAACATTATCTTAAAAAACTACTACTACTTTAGGCATTATTCATGGTGCTTCTGTTGCCATGTAATATCAGCAGGCATCTTGCTTTTCTGTTTTGCAGACACTCTTTAAAACATTGCTCTGCAATTCCCAGTTCGAATCGGGTTTCTTACAGGAAATATATAGAAGGCAAAAATCTCAACCTACCTTTAAAACAAGAATTTTTTATTAATGCTATTCTCTTAACTAGAAATAAATAAATAAATAAATAAATAAATAAATAAATAAATAAAATAAAAAAAGAAAGAAAGAAAAAAAAAAAAGTGAAAATATGCTAAGAGTAACAGTGTAGCTCCAGGAGAAAACAGTAAAAGATCCTGATGTACAGAGCTGGTTGCACAATGAAGAGTGTGGGTGCTGTATTATCCTGCTCTCTGTTCTCCTCTTGTGAAGTCAAAATACTGAAACAAGCAGGGATCCCTGAGCCACACAGCAGATCCAACACACGGGATAAAGATGCAACACAAGTAACGTAAAACGCATCTCTATCAACTCAGCATCAGAACATCAGCCTTGGTGGCATACCATCATTCATGTTTAACTTCATTTTCAGTAAGAATGTTAATATTAAAAAAAAAAAAGGGCATATTAAATCTGTATATAGCTTGAATCCATTTTGAGAATACCACTGAAAGAAGTGATGATCTAATTTGACCTTTGCACATAAGTGTCTTAATATGTTTGAAACAATGTTATTTACAGAAGATGTTTTGAATGAATTACAAACCCAAATGTATTCTTAGCTGCCCAGGAAATGTCTAGGAAATAAGATCTTTAAATACTCTGCACGGGGAAATATTATAATAATCTTCAATGGCAATATTTTGTATGTCTTACTAACATTTTATAATTTGCAACACATTTACACCTGAACTATTTTTCAACCATTAAAAACTGCATTCCAAAAACAAGTAATCTTGCACAAGAACGAGAACATATGAAATTTCTGTGTAGTTTTGCTATAAAGAAAAGTTTTAAAAATATAATTTAAAACAATACAGCCTTTCTCTTCATTTCAGCCAACATTTTTTGAATTCTGTGTCATTGGTCATTAGCAAGGTCCAGTAAAAATAGGTGTTCTTTAAAAGAACATGTGTTTTTATTGGTTCAGTCCAAGGCTCTAAAATGTCAACAGCTGCAAGTAAGGAACTGGATTTCCTTCTAAAAACATATATAAAAATACTTTTTGGAATACAGTGAGGAGAAGACAACGTCTGGTTCAGTACTGGCAAAAAGGAAATGTCAGTTGTATCCTTTTGAGAAAGCTGAATTCTAAAGCAAGTGTTTTATTTTAATTATAACAAATTTGAATCCTCTTAAAGACAGACATAAAATATTTTGTGCAGCACAGGTTGCTTAATATTCTGAAGTGCAATTGTACACTTAAAAGACAGGGCCATAACCGAGAAAACATCTTTTATATCTCAGACACTGGATACTTCAAAGAATATGAAAGCAACGTAGACAGATGTCAAGGAGAATGTGCCTTGATCAGAGCACTAAACACTTTGCCAAGAAAAGGATTTTAAAGCCTTGGAAATGGTAGCATGTCATTTTATAAGGCTTCACACAATTCACTAAGGATCAGCTTCATCACATAGACCACTGTGTTTATTCGGAGGCAATGCTCATGGATGAAAAACAAAAAACAACAACAGAAAAAATATCATCCCCTCTTCTTTCAAATCCTACCATTTGTTCCCCTCTCTGAAAATACACTTTCTCTCTACAAGTTTCCCATCTCAGCTAGCCTCATTCAAGCAGTAACATACATGCCAGACAATGCCCATACATACAGATTCCACTAGAATATCATCTATTCCCATCAAGAGGCACTCAATCTTCTCTTTAGCCATATTTTCACATTAAAACCAGTTTCGCTTTTCTAAATGCACCCAGTCTTTTCAAAGAAATACTCTTGTACCCAACACAGGATATATCATGAGCAATTAAATATAAAATGAAAAGCAAACAGCTGATGTATCAAAAGGAAAAGAAGAGATTCAGACAGGAAAGAAAGAACAGACAGTAAGAACACCTCCCACTAGACAAGCCTTCTTTTTAACAAACATCAGCTAACATGACTCAGCAGAACAAGCATGTTCAAGATGAACACCAGTTCAACCCTCAGCAGGTGCTGACCTATTTCAGTGGTGATGTAGCATAAGGCTTCAGAACACCATGAGGGAAAAATGCAGATAAACTCCAAAAAATGAGCACCTCATAGGGGAACACTGATGGAGAGTTCAAAAAGTGGACCAGCTGAATATAAAGTTCTGGAGGCTCACCCAGGAAGAGGCTTTTAAAAGATGGCCCTATTTCCAGGTACACAAAAGGAATAAAGATGGAAGACAGAAAAATCAGTGCAGATAACCACTTAATGCTGTTTGGCCTTTACTAAAAAAATGAAATTGCATTAACATATCAAACATAACTTTAGCACTTGTATTAACAAATCATTTCAAACATGCTGTCAGCTTACCAGTATCTTCTTCCTCAACTTGTACCTACAACATGTTAACATGGTGATGAAGAGCCTGTCAAGTCTACGCAAATTGATGAACAATTTTTGGTCATGGATTCTTCAGTAATGTATTCTAATACTAGAAAATTAAGAGATTACACAACAGCAAAGAAAAATCTGCAAGCAATTGGAGAAATAAAAACTACAGGGAAAAAGAGTAGATAAAAGTGATGATATTCAGCAGAGAAACCCTCTCACAGCCATAGGTTACTGCCCAGTTTGTTTCTATGAAGACATTACCTATCTCTACAGACCTCAAGCAGAAGCATTTCTAACAGTGAATTACTCAGGACAATCCAGCCATTCAGGTGCTTTGAAATAGGCTTGTGTACTTTGTTACATATGCAACCCAGTGAACAAGACAGTATTGTTGGGTGGGTTACTCACTTTATGTTTCAGTGTAGATGTGACCACTCCTTGGATAAGAAAATCCACAGAATGCTTGTGAAGTGCAGAATAAGCTGAATAAAACAGAACTGTACTACCAACTTACTGCAAATGCTATCTTGGTGATCATGTAATACTGTTGTATCTATTCTTGATTTTAATATTACTACATAACATACTATGTTTTCCATAATTTTTTTTTTGCCCTTCCTGAAGTTATAA